CACTAGGAGTGCCGTTTACCTTTTTGGACAGATCAGTTATGGGTGTCCCTGCAAGAGGACTGACTGAAACTCAGGGGGCAGCTGCTTTGAAACTTTCCAACCTGGCACGCAGTGCTGCAGAAGAGAGAAGGTTGGAACTGGGTGACACAGTCTGGTTGGTAGAAGCTGATTGAACTGGAGTGACTGGTGGAGGAGTAGCTTGATGAATGGTGATGCCAGCATCCGGCATTTCCTGACTAGTGGAATTTCTTCTTCTTCCTCCTCTTCCTCTGGTTCGTCGATTCCTTCATTCTCCGAGTTTGTTTCTTCTTCTTCCTGCTCTTCTTCTTCTTCCAGGAACTACACATCCTCATCAATAGGAGCTTTTCCCTGTTGAGACTGAGATACAGGCAATATCAGAGAACTGGAAGAATCGAAGGAATGTAAGTAGAACAGCCATTTGGTAAAGGAGTGTTACCCAATGTTGCTTGACAATGGCGTATTTGATTCCAAGAGGTCTGGTTGATAGTCTTACAGACTGCCTGACGGGCCTGGAGGAAGGATTAGAAGTGGGAGTTTGATTTTTGTTGTAGGCCCTGTCTTTCATCAGATCTGAGCACTCAAGTATAAAGTTAGAAAGATACAACAAGGGAAAACATGCATGATTATGCAAGACAGTTAATTAAGGTACCATCATCTGTCAAGGGGACTATGCTTCTTGACATGATAAGTATAGCAGCACTGGCAACAGCAAGCTGTCGCCTGAGATCATCTGCTGATCCACGAATGATGACTGGGTAAGTGTGCTGCCACCATTGTCTGAAGGCTACAAAGCATACAAGTCTGGGCGTAAATGGCACGATGGTGACATCTTGCGTCAGCAGGTTCATCAGGTTGATACGGCCGGCGAGCACAGATTGAGGTATATGGAATCAGCCAATCCACCAATTATTCCAGCAGATGAACTCAAAGCTGGGGGCAATCTGCGTCAGGCCGAATTGACAGGCCACCATGTTTGCTGGATGAAATTCAGCAAGGGTCTCCATGGCTTTCTTTTTTCCAGTGGCTTCTTGAGGTCGGAATCCATAATGTAGATCCCGAGTGGCCAGGAAGTATCCCCATATAGCCCTCATTCCAGTAGTGGCAGAATCATCCTAATGACCAAATTTGGCCTCTGCCTCATATTCAATGCCAAAACAGGGGTGATAACAATCGGTGTCAAGGAGGCTGTGGACAATAGAAATATCGGGTTCAACTTCTAACAAGATTGCTACAACATCATCAACAGGCAGTTTATTTTCCTCTAAGCTAGTTATATTTCAACACAGGGGTTGATTAGGGGCAGCAATATCTGTATATCCGTGCCTAAACGTAGGAAAATACATTTCTAGCCACAAGACTAACAACCAGAGAGGGCCTGCTAGGGTCTGTGTTGGATGATGCCTTAACTCAAAAATGCTTCTAAAAAAACTACTTAACAGATCAGAGGCTAAATCTACTTTCTTACCAGTAGCGAAAACACAAGCTAAATGATAGAAGTTCATAGACATTTGCAAAGTATGAGAGTAGAAAACATACTTATTTAGCCAATAAGCCAAGAAAGTCTTATGCTGAGTGGCTAGATCAGCGTCTTGGACCGCTTCCATCAGGTGACCGAATTGATTTTGCTTAACGGTGGCCAGATCTATGGCCTCTTCATGCTCCAGATTGATGTCCACCAGGACAGGAATCACTACCAGCAAGCCAGTAATTAGGCAAATGTCCAGCAGTGTGGGAGACATCATTCCCCCAGGCAGGCAGAGGACGTTGGAGGTCAAGGACCAAAAGCAGGCGGCGGTGTTGATCAGTGCTTGATCGAAGGGAACTCCGACCTTGAAAAATTGAATCAAATCATAAATACCGGTGTCCCTCCAAATCTGACCTAATTCTGGCTCAAGGAATTTGCACCATTCAACCCAGGTGGAGTTAATTTTGGCTTTGTGGGACCAGGGCCAGCTTCTGTGGTCGTAAACACTTTGACAGTTGCCCAAATTAATGAAATCATGTGACGAGCTAGCCGGCGACATAGTGGTATATGCCAGACTAAGGCCGGCGGCGCTTGGTCAAACCCAGGACCCAGTCAAAAAAATCGGGTATTGACAGTGGTTGAGGAGAATGTGTCCTGAAATGGAGGAACCAGCGACGGAACATCGGCGGCAAGGATTAATCGCCGGGAAGCAAGAGATGGAGAATAATCTCTAACAGCGACCATTGATAATTCCAAGGTGGGAGCGAAATGCAAGATTTGCATAGGTGGAAAAGAAAAGAGAGGACGAGTGAATTTTTGCGGGGCTCGATAAACATGAAATGATGGTGTCTGTGAACGAAGAGGGGACAGGTTATTAATACCATCTTGAATGGTGCATTAACAGAATGATATTATCTTGATTTGATGAAAATATGTATCAATTGAATCCCACTTCTTGTGGGATTGAGATAATGGTTACTATGAGGAGGGATATGTTTCAGTAAGGAAAGGATTTCGTATTTGAAATTTGCCCGGGAAGATTAGAAAATTTGTTTAGATTAATTCATAATTTTTCTCGGGGTGCATTATGTTGGGCCAGTTTTTTGCGATTGGACAGAAGCTGTAATTGGGCCGTAGTTGCAGAAAGTGATGGGCCATGGTCAAAGAGCTTTATGCGGGCTGGTTCGATTACAAGAGAGAAGACAAATTAGATTTGAAGAAGGATTTGTGAACCGACTTGGTTTGTAAGGTCTATTTAAAAGATCAGCGGTAGAGGTGAAAAATTGGCGTTCATACCCAAAGTTTTGGGCTCATCGTCAATTCTACCCTATTGATTTCCGGTTAGCCAATTTTGTTCTTACTGTTTGAAATATTTGACAATTCTACCTAATTGGCCCAATTTCCGTTAAACTTAACGGATTTTCGTTAGTATTAACCAAAAACAGCATGATGATTTTAATAAATTATAAAAACAACCCTAAAAATATAAAAATGATAAAATAATCCCTTTTATTCATTTTTTTGCTATTTCATTTTATTTCTCTTTATTAATTTTCATAACTATCAAAATATACTATATGATCTAAAAATAATAATTATTTAATTTCAAAATCTATATTTCACGTACATTTGGGTTGAGGGGTAATTTTATCATTTTAAATTTTTAAAAATTTTTAATTTTATTTTTTTATTCGTTATTTTTTGATATTATTTTTCTTATATTTCCTGACTTGTATATATTGATACTAGTAAAATTATTAAATTTCAATAATTAATTTACTTTTTTATTTCACAGATTATAAACAATTTAACATAAATAAAATGAGAAAGAAAAAATCAAGTTGAAACAAACATGAAAATTAATAGTTTATCATTCTAAACAAAAATCAAAAAAATCAGCGACGGAGAAAAAAAAAATCAGCAAAGAGAAGTCGTTCATCCTTGACTTCCTCCAATTCATAGGTGAGTTACGAAACATAAATTTTAATTAGTCCACAACGATGCAGTTCTATAAATTTGGTTAACACTATTTTTATTCTTTTTTTAATAATTTTTTTCTTCGCCGGTTGGCGGTTGCTAAACTACATAAGGAATTATTGAATTTCATGAAAAAGATAAATACATGTATTTTTTAGCAAAATAATTACTAAATTATACTACATGACTTGTATTATTTTTATTACAAAGAAAAAAATAATCATTTTAGGTTAGATCAAGTAAAATTTATGTTTCGTGACTTACCTATGAAATAGAGGAAGTTAAGGAGAAAAGACATTTTTCGGCAATTCTTTTAAGTTTTTTTTTCTTTTTTTTTTAATTTAAAGAATGATAAACTATTATTTTCATGTTTATGTCAACTTAAGTTTTTCTTCCTCATTTTCTTTTTGTTAAAGTTTTTATAATCTATGAAACGAAACGGTAAATTAATTATTAAAATTCAATAATTATTCTAGTATCAATATATACAGGTCAGGAAATATATATATAAAAAGAATCTCAAAAAAGACGAATAAAAAAAGAAATTAAAATTTTAAAAATTTAAAATGACAAAATTACCCCTCAACCCAAATCACATGTGTTGTACATGAAAAATAGATTTTGAAAATAAATAATTTATTTTTTAAAGATCATATAGTATATTTTGATGGTTATAAAAAGTAATAAAGAGAAATAATGAAATAGAAAAAAATGAATAAAAGGGACTATTTTGTCATTTTATATTTTTAGGGTTATTTTTATAATTTATTAAAACTATCAGGGTATTTTTAGTAAAAAAACTAATGGAAATCCGTTAACGAAAATTGGGTCAATTGGGTAGAATTGACAAATATTTCAAACCAGTAAGGACAAAATTGGCTAACCGGAAATCAATAGGGTAGAATTGACGATGAGCCCAAACCTTTGGGTATGAACGCCAATTTTTCCGTGGTAGGTGGAAAGACACAATCAAAATAACATCAAATTGCTTCTTTTAATTTTCAGTATTTTATTTCCGATTTTGTCTCTAAAACTAGGGTTCTTCAAGAACTCTCCGAATTAGGCCGATTATCGGCGGCTGTATTTGATCTCTAAAGATTATAGTAAAATCTGGCCTTCGGCCGATTCTTATTTCTCGAAATTCTTATATTCAATTTATTTAGCACAAGTTATTAAGAACAACACACAATCCTTTGAGAGATATATTGTATAATTCTTCCAAGACGAAAATTGTGCAAACAACATATAAAGATACATTTTATCTGTCCACCTATTAATTGGTGTTTGATTTGATTATTTTGATACGTAATCACATTAATAAAATTAACGTTTTACGTTATTCAAAAAATTGTTATGAATCCTTTAATCTTATGAGTTATGATTGAAATCCAAATCGACCTAATTACAGTATCTCGAATTCTTGAAAGAAGTGACAGGGACATTACGGTAATTACACCATTTGTTTGCTTTATAGTTTATAGTCCAAAAATTTTTTGTTCCCCGCGTAGACTCTGGCACTACTGTGTCCTGTGTCACCTTCAGAACATAATGAAGGTGTTATTTCAACAACTCTATCGTACATACACATTGTTTCCAACATACGTTGTCATCAAATTTCCATTTTTTCCCCAGTCCACTCCGAGCACGAAGTCCTTGCACGCAGATCAAAACTAGCTCAAAATGGCAAATCTGATCCAAAAAAACCCCAAACCTTTACCAAAAATCAAGGATAAAACGCTGAATTTTTCATTGCTGGCCAACTGGTTTGTCAAAACTTCAAACTTCTCCTTTCTTAACTCGGATTTTGGAGGTTTGGTTTTTTATTTCTGTAACTCTTGAAACCTCTTATTCAAAGATTTTGAGCAAGCCTATATCAGAGGTAAAAAGGAAGCTCTTTTCTTTGGTTTTAGTTGCAATGATGAGGTGGGTTGGTTTTGCTTTTGTGTTTTAGAACTCATGTGCGTTTATTGTGGTCATAATGTGGATCAGGGATTGAGCTCCTGGAAAACCCTGAAGGCCGATTCTTGAACAACCCCTTTTCATCTGTTTATGTAAGATACTCTCTTTCTTTCTCTGTTTTCAGTTGTCCTTCTCAATTTTGTGTTTCCAGAAAAGTACACGATAATGATCGTCGTTAGGATCCTGTTCTTAAAAGGGTTGGCTTTGATGGGATCTCAATGTTTTTTTTTTTTTCTTAAGAGCAGTCTTTGTTTGGAATTATGGATTTTGGTTTAGAATACATTTTTTTTTTCCCATTGGGATTAGATCGAACAACTCCCTTAGTTATGCACATACGTCTGAATCAGTCTTTTCTTTCTGCTTCTTAGTTTTCATTCCTCTCCATTTTTGTTCCATTTCTGCAAAATTTAGTCTGGATTTCGTTGTTAGCTATTTTTCACTTTCTGCCGCCGCCTTCAATCCATCATCATTTGTCTTCGTGACTGCCCTGGTCAGAGTGTGCTGCAATAGCCTAATAGGAATTTGGTCTCGCATTTGGAGTTATTGAATTAGGTTGCTACAGATTTAAGTAGAGATGGTTCAGTTTTCATTTTCTTTCAAGTATTTTATCTGATAGCCATGGAATGATTGGAAAATAGGAAATTGAAGTCTATTTTGAGGGACTTCAGGGAACTTAATGAAAGTTCTGGTATGGGACCCCTGAATGAAACTGCATAGGAAGATCGGAACTTTGGAAGAATAAACGATTTCTGGGAAAGTGAAGGATTGTTGCAATTGGATTGAATGATAAATCTGAGTTCGTTGTTGATCAACTGTACTCTAGGAGCAATTACATATGCTGACATTCCAAAACATAATATGATACTTATTCTATTAAGATTGGTAAAATCTTTTCCATACTTTCTTAAAAACACATAACTACAGTCTGCTAATTACTGAAAATAGAACTAAGAATGAATCAGGTCCTGAATGATTTATAAACTGGTCTAGAACACCAATTAGATTTTCCTTTAGGCCAGAATTCCTTCTTCCTTGCAATTTCATGATGCCATTTACATGTATTCTGTCCTCCCGTTTCAAAAAGATGACACATTGTCTAGGTTTGCCTCATTAATGGATTAATATCGCGGAGATGGATGATCGGACGTATGTCCTCCTTAGTTAATGGCAGGGAGAACATAGTGGTGCCAGAATTTTTTTTTGACTTTTCCCTTGAACTGCTCTGCTTTAGAATGGAATCTGATTTTAAAAACTCAGAAGATGAAGTCTGCATTCTTTATTAGTCTCTTGATCCTGACCCCAAAACTCTGATACTTGGGCAGCATGGCGCGAAAGAAGAAGACACCTGGGCTCAACGCAAATGCTGAGCGAGAGTATACAATCAATTCCAGTGTCTCTGCCAGAAATCTGACAAAGAGTGAACTTGGTGCAGTCATATTTGCCTGCAAAAATTTCACAATCTCAGAATGCAAAAAGAACAATCTATTTGGTCAGTGGCCATTTCTTATCTGTAATTTTTGGTTCCTTTACTAGTGATAGACTGATAGTTAGTCTACTGATTAGCCTCTTTCTCATAATTCTTTGCTCCTCCTGATACCTTGAGCAGGATTACCATCAGGGCACTTCTCCTATGTGAGGAATGTAACTCCTGGTTTAGTTCTGTTCCTGTTCAACTGCAGTGACAGGAAACTCCATGGCATTTATGAAGCCATAAGCCCAGGTCAACTAAGTATCAATCCTCATGCCTGGACTGGGAATAGCAAAGAGTCCACAGCCTATCCAGCACAGGTAAAAGAGGCAGCCTTTCCAGTACTTCCTTAGCTTGTTAAATTGACATTTATGTTGGAGGTTGAAAATATTGTTTATCAATTCATTTTACTTTGTTTCTTTTCTCATATAAGGTGCGAGTTCGTGTAAGAAATCAGTGCAGTCCTTTGTCTGAGGAACAATTTGGTCCTGTAATCGCTGATAATTATCATGATTCCAGTAACAGAAATCTTTTTTGGTTTGAGCTGGACCGTACTCAAACCAGAAAGCTACTAGAACTTTTCTTACGTTCAGCATTACCAGGGAACTCGGCACTGAACAAGTTACCTATACATGGTGAAGGAGCAAAAAGCCCCATTGTAGAACGTGTTGCCAATATTGCACATGGGGCGGACAAGGAACAGGAAACATGGGACCAAAGTCCTGCAAACCTTAATCAAGAAGGTGAATGTTCTTATGTGTTTGCCCTCTGTGGTACAAGCAATGCCCTTCCTCAGAAGCCATGGAGTTCACTATTTAAATCTTCAGCAGCTTCTGAAAGCATATCAAGAGACGAAGATCCACAGCCACAGACTTCAGCTTTTGTGCCTTCATCATATATTACTAATGTGAAATGGGAAGATTCACGCGTTCCATCTTCTCGACACAGTCAAGACTATGGTTATGGAGGTTATGCAGATCAATGGGATACAGAAATAACTGTAATGCCTGTGAGAAGAGAAAGTGAAGTCTTCAAGTCAGTAGCTTCAGAATTAGATGTTGATCATTCTGGTGATTCAAATACTGATTGGGAATTGTCATATGATCCCCAATTTTCTCCTTTGGAAGCTTTCAGGGACAAGCATGCAAGAGACATAAACATTGACCTGGGGAGTTCTTTGAAGGATTCAGGGGATCAACCATTTGATTTAGAGTCCATGGTTTATCAGGTATTTTCTTTTGATTATTTTAAGAGGGTTTCTAAATTTAAGACTAGCGCATTCTGTTTGCATTTAGGCATTCCTGATGTCATTCAACCATTGTTTTTGTAGCTAATGCAAGCGGTTGAAGATTTGAAGGCATCACAGCTCAAACAAAATCTCAGAATCAGTTCCCTGGAACACCAGGTAATTTTGACACCATGGCTAATTTTAGTTCATTCCCAACTTCCTGCTCCATTTGTTAAACTCTGAAGGCTGTGATATTATTTAGTATAATGCATCACATTTTTTCATTCTCTGCTAAGAATCTGGTGTATCTTCTGCTTCTTCTTTTTTGTTTCAGATTCAATCAATGGCAGAGGCTCAAAGTTTGAAAAAGCATTTTGAGATGTTTACTTCAAGCCCAACTTCCTCTTCTAGTGAGGAAGTATACTACGATGCGCATGAATTTCTGTCGCAACCCGATGGACAATGACAAACTTGAAAGCTCTTGGGAAAAGAAAGTTTAGTTTCTGCTCTAAAAATGTTGTTATCTCACACTCTCAATTATCAATCTTAGGTTAGGTCTTTGATGCAGCAATTGGTTCCATATAATGCAGTGTTGTTAGTTGTAGTATAGTTACATGTTTGGCTGAGGACTTGAGGTTAGCGAGTTTCATCTTCTTGTATCAAAATAAAAAATAATAAAAAAACAGTTTCATCTTCTAAGTTCACAGCTTTGAATTTATAACCGTATGCGTTGTAATAGTTTATGTATCGTTTAATAAAGTTACAGGTGATAATGGTTTATTTGTTACATAAAAGTATTACAATTAACTCTGAATTTAGTAAGAAATTGGGGGATATTTTCTATTATTAGTGCATTCTACTTAACTAGTTTTCATGTTTTTGTTAGGTTGGGGTTTGATTACACAATTGCTGAAAAATTGAGGCCAATGGAATAAATTGTGGGCTGCTAAGTCAATGTTGCTGAGCTGGACGAAGAAGCACATCCTTAGACAAGAAGCATCTTGTCATTAATGAGTATGTCTCCTCAAGAGGCATGCTTGTCCCCCAGCCGAAATTTCAGCCACCCTTGCTGATCAATGAGAGCAATGCTGCCACTTCTGGAAGAAGAGAAGAAGAACAGCCAAGTTTGGATTCCAGGTACAAGGCATTGGGAAGATTAAACAAATTACAAGCATGGGGAGGCTCTCATGATGAAAGAACTGGCTGCAAGGCCCTATAAAAGGGGGAACTGCACTCTCAGAAAGAATCAATCTCTGGTTACCCTTTCAGTTGCCAAAAACACACAGAAAAACTCCAGGTAGAAGGCAAGAAGGAAGAAGAAGCAACAACAACTCAGTAAGGAAGCCAAGTTGGAAAGTAACCATCCCAGTTTCTGCTTCAGTTCCATGAGTGAACCCTTTCACTCCCAGGAGTGGCTCAGAAACTGCACAAGCTTTTTTCTCGTCTCTTGACTGTTAGCTTGAACTTTGTTTATTATGCATACTTCTATGATGTCTTTTGATGTAGTAGATGTAGCATTAATCTGTATGAGTAGCTAAGCAGTTTCCAGGGGTTATTCTCCTCAACCTATATGGTAGTTGTTTAATGCACTGGTTTTGTTCCTTGCTTTGAAGTTGCAAGTTTTTCTATATTCATTTACTTGATCACTAAATTGAATGCATACTAGAACTAAGAGAGATTTGGAAACATAAACTTGGTTTGGATTGGTCTGGAAAGATAAACTTGGTTTCAACTTTAACTTATGACATAGGAATATACTTAGTTAACATAAGCATTCTTGAAGGCCTAAGAACTTAATGACTTTGTATCTGGAATCAATCATTGGAAAATAGATTGTTAAGGTTGCAAAGATGACTCTAGGAAAAATGGGAACTGGCTTAGAGTTATAAGTGAGCTGAATGAACAAGAACTCAACCACTACAGTGCAAATAAAAAAACTACAACAGTAGGAAGAGGAGAAGAACACCCCTGGCTTTCATTCCCCTGAGTGACTGTTTCCATTCCCCTGAGTGAGATCTTGTCTGACTGGTAGTTTTTTTTTACAACAATTTTGGTAATTAGCTGTCCTCGTGGGATCGACCTAGCTTCCATTATCTACAAAATTTATAATCTAAGCTAGTAATGTTTTTGGTGAACTTGGTACGCACCAGAAAGTGACACCGTTGCCGGGGATGGCGTAAAACCTCCAAAAAATTGTTCTTTTTGTTTATTTGTAAATATATAAAATTCTTCTCTGGTTACCCCAGTGAGCTTCAGTTTCTTTTCTTTGGTGTATGACTAGAAGGTACCAACGAAGTGAACCTGTTTTTGACCCAGAAATTGAAGCTACTATACGCAGAACCAGAGCAGCAAGAAGAAGGCAGAACCAGTTGTAACAGAACAACCAAAAAGGTTCATCAGAAATGGCTAACCAAGGTGGTAACCCGGAGAACAATAGGAACCCTGGTGGGGATCAACAAAATCGACTAGAGAGACTGCTTAGAGATTTCTTCATCCCACAACAAGAAGAAGTCCAATCCCCTTTGGTGTTCCCTGATGTAGAGGCAACCAATTTTGAGCTTAAGCCACAGATGATCCAATGGACTCAATCAGCCTGCCCATTCCATGGATTACCACATGAAGATCCTAATGATCATATCCGAAGTTTCCTGCATTTATGCAGTACTTTTAAAATTTAAGGCTTATCTAATAATGACATTAGACTGAGGTTATTCCCTTTTCCTTGCAGGATCATGCCCAAGCATGGTTCAACACATTACCCAACAACTCTATTTCCACTTGGGAAGAGTTAAGACAAAATTCTTTCCACCCGCAAAAGCTGCACAACTCAGAACAACAATAATGAACTTTAAGCAGCATGGAACAGAAACACTCTATGAAGCATGGAAAAGACTGAAGGAAATGGTCAGAAAATGCCATCAGCATGGTTTGGAAGAGCATATTCAACTGAGCATCTTCTACAATGGGCTGCTACCAACTACAAGAGATTCCCTTGATACTGCAGCTGGTGGTGTATTTATGATGAAGCCGGTTGATGCAGCAAGGCAGTTACTTTACAATATGACCACCAACCATTCAAGGTGGCAATCTGATCCAAGGACAAGTACAAAACAGCCAGGGATGATGGAACTTGACTCCAGTACACACTTGCAAGCACAAATGGCTGTTATGATGAATGAAATGACTAAACTCAGGAGTGAGCTGTCCAAATCCAAGGTTGAAGTGTGTGTATTATGTGATGGATCCCACAGTTTGGATGACTGTCCCTCCAAAATGGAAGCTGTCCAGTTTGTCAGACAGGGCAATGCTGGGGGATTCAACAACTTCAACAATTGGAGAAATCAGCAACAGCCTAACTGGAACAATGCACCACAACAAGGAAACTATCAGATGCCTGCTCAACCCCCAGGATTTCACAGACAAGATGGTCAACCTCCTAACTATCAGAATCAGCAGTGTTCTAACCAGCAATATATACCAAGGGAAGATGAATGGATTTCTGTGTAAAATGCAATCAAGAGTTTGGCGGTGTCTTGCAAAAGTTTGGAGAATCAGTTGGCCCAGATTGCAAAACAAAATGCTGAAAGACCATCTGGAAGCCTGCCCAGTGATACAGTTGTAAACCCCAAGGGGAATGACCAAGAGCAAGCAAAGGCTGTCACTCTCAGAAGTGGAAGGCAACTCAATCAGCCAAGTGAAAAAGTCACTCCCGTGAGTGACCCTGCAGGTAAGAATGAAATACTTTCTGAGAAAATATCTGATAATGATGATGTGGTTGAACAGGAGCAAACAGCTGAAAAACTTGGAATGGAGGAAATTCAATTTCCAGCACCAATTAAGGAACCACAACAGCCAGCTCCAAATCCACCATATCCGGTAAGACAAAAGAAGGCCAAAATAGATGAAGGGCTCAACAGGTTTATTCAAAACTTAGAAAGTATACATATTAATGTACCAGTTGTTGATGCACTTAAACAAATGCCTAAATACTTCAAGTACTTGAAAGATTTGGTGGCAAATAAACCACAAGTGCATGACTCTGCTTTTGTCACTCTAAATGAAGAATGTAGTGCAGCTATTCTGAGAAAATTGCCACCTAAGCTAAAAGATCCGGGTAGTTTCACTCTGCCTTGTACAGTAGGAATCAGAGAATTTTCAAAAGGATTACTAGATCTTGGTGCAAGCATAAATCTCATGCCATTCTCTGTATTTAAATCCCTTGACCTGGACAAATTTCTGGTACCTACTAACATGGCATTGCAGTTGGCAGATAGGTCACTGACCTACCCAAAGGGAATCTTACATGATGTTCTTGTGAAGGTTGGAAATTTTGTTTACCCAGCAGACTTTGTGGTTTTGGACATGGAAGAAGACAGGGATGTGCCCATCATCTTGGGGAGACCCTTTCTAGCAACAAGTGATGCAATCATTAAGGTGAAAAAGGGAGAAATCACTGTGATGGAGAGAAGGTTACCTTCAACATCTTCAAAAATATGAGATATCCTGCTGAAGTCCATAACTGATACATGGTAAGAAGAGTAGAAGTAGAAGAAGCAGTGACAGAAGAATTACTGCAAGATGATCTCCTCAAGGAACTATTATGCCCAGACAGTAATGAGGAACAGGAAGGAGGGGATGAGTACATGGCCACTTGCCTGAGTTACCTGAACCACTCCCCCAAGTGGCACCCTAAACAACCACCCTTTGAACTATTAGATCTGACCAAGGAAGGAAGATGCCTCAAACCTTCAATTGAAGAACCACCTCATCTCGAACTTAATCCTCTGCCCTCACATTTAAAGTATGCCTATATTGGAGCAAGTAACACCTTACCTGTGATCATTTCTTTTATGCTTACAGGTACTGAAGAGGATAAATTGCCGAGAGTGCTGAGGTTGCACAAGAAAGCCATTGGATGGTCAATTGCAGACATTAAGGGCATCAGTCCTTCCCTATGTATGCATAAGATCCTACTTGAAGACGATGCCAAGCCAACCATTGAAGGACAAAGAAGGCTCAACCCAGTCATGAAGAAAGTGGTGAAAAAGGAGATTATCAAGCTGCTAGACGCTGGAATCATCTTCCCAATATCTGACAGCAAGTGGGTGAGTCCAGTGCAGTGCGTGCCCAAGAAGGGAGGAATCACAGTGATAAAAAATGACCTCCAGAAGCTGATCCCTACAAGGCTGAACAATGCATGGAGAGTGTGCATGGACTACAGAAAGCTTAATAAAGCTACCAGAAAGGACCACTTTCTCCTTCCCTTTATTGATCAAATGTTGGATAGATTGGCTGGATTAATGTATTATTGTTTCCTTGATGGTTTCTCAGGTTACAACCAGATTGCTATAGACCCTGATGATCAAGAGAAGACGACTTTCACCTGCCCCTATGGCACATTTGCCTTCAAGAGAATGCCATTTGGACTGTGCAATGCACCGGTAATATTTCAAAGATGTATGATGGCCAGTTTCTCTAACATGGTGGAAGACATAATTGAGATCTTTATGGACGACTTCTCGGTTTTTGGTAAATCATTTGATGCATGTCTAGACAACCTTGGACTGATATTGAAGAGATGCATAGAAGCAAACCTAGTCCTCAGCTGGGAGAAATGCCATTTTATGGTAACTGAGGGAATTGTCTTGGGACATAAGATCTCACAGGAAGGAATTGAAGTGGACATTGCAAAGATTGAAGTCATAGAGAGGCTCAGCCCACCAACCACAGTCAAGGGAGTGAGGAGTTTCTTAGGTCATGCCAGTTTTTACAGGAGGTTCATTAAAGATTTTTCAAAAATTTCTAAACCCTTGTGTAACTTGCTTGAAAAAGACACTGCTTTTATTTTTGATGAATCCTGTTTAAATGCATTTACTGAACTGAAAAAGAAACTCATCACTGCACCTGTGATCATCACACCTGATTGGTCACAGCCTTTTGAACTAATGTGTGATGCTAGTGATTTTGCAGTTGGTGTTTTACTTGGACAGAGAAGGAATAAGGTGTTACATGTGGTTTACTATGCTAGTAAAACCCTCACCCCTGCACAAATCAACTACACCACTACAGAAAAGGAAATGCTGGCAATTGTG